TTAATCCTATAATTTCATATAAATATATGTATATGCATTTGTGTATATATATATATATATATATGATTTATTAAATTTAAATGCATGCAGATATGTATTTATATAAGCATATATGCATGCACATTGTTGAACCGAGCTTGGGTTGGGATAAGATGCGTTAGGTTTGGGCTACCGAGTTAGGTTCAAGCCCATCCTGAAAAGTAAAAATGCATATATTTTTGCAAAATTGCAGATTGGGTCAATCTAGGCTCATGACATGATATGGCCCAATATAGAGGCGTATTGTGCCGATATACACCACCCATCAAATACATATCCATGTAACCTATATCTATAGCCATGATGCATGGGTATAGAACCATATTAGGAGTATATTATCGATATTTAAACCTTGGATGTAATGGGTGACAGGAGGGGTGGGGGTTGTCTTGAATCCGAGAGATTGATTAAATGTGGATGGGTCTACCGAAATGATATAGATGAGACACTTTGCAGGTCCATAAAATGTACCCTTCAAATCTTAGGCGGGAAAACCTTTCACCAGCCACCCCTCATTCCTTGTGCACCTTTCATCCTCACAAAAATAAATGGATCGGGTTGATTGGGGTTGGGTCAAGATAAACCATGGTCCCAACCCAAGAAATAATTTATACATACAAAATAAAAAAGAAAACTTTGAAAATAAATGTGCATAACTAGATCCAAACCAAACCCTTGTAATTATAGATGATTCAACATGGTTTTAAAAATTGACCCGGAAATGGATTTATTTTGCCACTAGTTTTGGGTCAATGGTTCAAACAGATAGTCTATTCTGATAAAAATAACAAAAATATTAAAAAAAAAGGCTGGATTGACGGTTCAATCACCTGAGTCAACTAGTCTGATTGATTCAACAGTTTTTTGCCAGGAACCAGGTTTGGAGTAAAATGGAACCAATTGCCTAACAGTTCCCAGGCCGAACAGTCCAGCCATCTAAATCAACAACGGTTCAAAAACCATGCAACCCAATATTAAAGAACGGAAAAATACAAGTTTGTGATTCCATAGATTTGATCCCATACCTCCTAGTTAGAGGTTAGAGGAGTGACATGTGACCAATTGACCATTTTGGCTATTAGATACTACCCGCTTATAATCCACAAACATGCTTTTAATCTATAATTTGACAACAAATCTAACTTTGTAAGTTTATTTTTTATTTTTATTTTTTTTTTTGTATTTGATCATACGCCTGAATTCAACAGGGGCCGTATTTTTTTCTTGGGCATAATACAGCAACGCTCTTGTAAATCTCCTCCAAAATCAATGGTAACCGACATCTCTTCTGGGATAATACAGTTGACATTACCAACTGAGCCACCACTGGGTTTATTTGTAAAATTAACATACCTAATATATATATTAAAGTAATGAAATCAGGCCAAAGTCTTCCTCAATTAGACATGTGGTCCATTTACATTCAGACATTTGTTATTTCAAAGATTTAAACAAAATGGATACGTGTTAAAATCTGAATAGTGGTAGTTTAAGAATAGAGACCATTAAACATGTGTCAAATTCTGATTAGTGGTAGCTCAAGAAAACAACTCACTAATATGCAAAGTGGAGCCCACCACTTTGCAGAGTTGTGAGAAGTGGAAAGTTCCCACTTTCAATCATTTCCTAAAGAAAAAGGAAGTTGTGCTATTAATTACTGTTAACTACTAAACTAATTAATTAATTCCAGCTACTAACTACTAATAATAATTACTATTAACTACTTTTAATGAATTAATTACAGCTATTAATTACTAATTAATTACTGTTAACTACTTCTATCTAATTAATTTCAGCTATTAATTACTAATAATAATTACTCATTGATAATAATTAATAACTGAAAACAGTTTCTTATAATAATTACTGCTATTACTTAATTGCTGATAATAATTAATTAGTGATGATATTGCTCATTATTAATTCAGAAAAATAATTTCATATAATAATTACTGATAATTTATTAATGGCAATATTGCTCACTATTAATTCGAAATGATAACTAATAAATATTTTCATACTGGTAATTAATAATTCGAAAATAATAATTTTATATTTATATTAACTCATATTAATTATTACTGATTTCATAATTATTAATATATTATTAATCTATATTACTCAATAAAGACATGGAATAAAAAATATTCAAATTACCACTAAATGAATGAACTAAAAATCTATGAGTATTCTAATTGACTTGAATTTGACACATTAACATGCCCAAAATTATAATTTCAACCTACATTTTCTATTTGTATCTCCCAATTCCCATAATTCAAACATACCATTAGGTTATGTACAGGTTTCATTATCTTTTCCTAAAGATAAATTTTAGTCAGCCTATGTGCATTGTGGGGAGCTTAGACTTACAATTCATAATCATGATTGACCAAAAGAAGTGTTGCCACCTAACTTGGAGGTGACTTCTATACTTAGGATGGTCCCATAATTCTCCTTTCTTTCATGTTTCTTCTGTTGGATGGGCTTCGGAGTCCTAATTATATTATCAGTTGATTGTAGTTATACACGATGATGATTTGATTGTAGTCATATAATTTTCAATTCTTACTTTAGAGGATGGATGCATCTGCAAATGTTGTTTGRCATGGATTGTTTTTCTTGGCAGCTCTTTGAATGATTTTCTTCATTCTTTGCCTCTATGAATGGATATCATAAATGCTTTTTATCCATTCATATGTCCCTAAATATTAAGCAGTATTGGTGATATTGTTGTAAACATCCATCTAAGTTTACTATTTTATAAATAAATTAATGATTTCAAAGTAATTGATACATTTTTTGGGGTGAGTTGTTCAATAGGACATTGGTTTTTTATTGTTAAATAGTATATTTCAAATTAAATGATATTGTAGTTGCCCCTTAGTATGGGGTCATTGTCTAGATAAACATGGTAAGTCTCTTAAATCAAATAAAGAGCCTACCCTAAATGTCTATTATAAATAATTAAAAAAATGAAATAATTCAGATTAAATCAAATAATTACTTACTCAAAATTACTGAATTAAGTAAATAATAATAACAATCAATTATTTATAGAAATAATTAATAATAATAACAATCATCAAGTACTTATTTAAGTAAATAATAAAAAATGAAATAACAATCATCAGTTATCATTAATGTTTATTCAAAGCATGTCCCATAATAATTACCAAATACAGTAATTAAACCTTAAATAAGAATCAATATTTATTAATAGTCATTAAAATTGTTAAGTCAAATCATTAATGTTTATTCTTAAGTGGAAAATATGAATTAACAAATCTATTATATAATAATTATACTCGGTTGGAAAAAATATTTTAAGTAAATATTTAAATAATTACAAATTTAGTAAATATTATTATTAAATAACAAAAAATTTAAATTAAATACTAAAATAAATGGTTAATTAAAGTAGTAAACGTTTCAAGTTGAATTTAATGATTCATATAATTTTATGGGTTTGACATATAAGGGTCAATTTATGTGAACCCGTAAACTGTATGAGTGTTTTAAAAAATGGCAGTTTATAAACAATAATAAAAATCATTAAAGTTTAATCATATATATATATATAAGGACATATCTTAATGGGAAATTAGATATTAGATTAGAGTATCTGTTAATATTGTGTTGGGTGCGTTACCTGAATCAGATGCAAATTATGAAACCACTTCAGTTTTACAACTCTTTGATTTGTGCTCCTACCTGCTACAAAATATGTATTTCTTTGTTTGGATAAAAAGCTTAAAACCTCTCTTAGGTTTCTCCTCAATACTGAGCCTCCCCTCTTTTCAAAGTGGAGTACATAAGCTGTTTTATGTGTCTGACGGAGGAGTTCAAAAGTCCAATATAATTTCCTTGTTTTAGCGGTAAAGCTGATAAAAAAAAAAATCCAGTTCACAGGGTTATCAAGTGGCCATATTGGGCTCCAGAAGGGAGGATGGGTGCTGCTTTTAAGAGTTATGGACGGCTTAACTGTGAAAAGTTAGTTCTCTTTGCGATTACAAAGGTTTTGCAGCAGGAACTAGGAAGCATTACTAATCTGCCCTCAAAATGTCATCTTCTCTCTTGGGTCCTTGCTTAAATTCTTGCTTCTTTTAAATTTTTTGAGTTACAAAGAAAATCGATGCATCCTAAAACATAATTCCCAATTGGGAAACTGCAGAGATAATGCTGAAATTTAGTAAAACAAAGAATATAAGAAACAGAGACACCCAAACCCAAATCAGAGTCTTGACTTAGGCTCAAAAGGAATAAAATATATATACAGTATAAATAATACAAAATACAAGGTTTTACGCTCTATATATTTATATTAACTGAGTTCGAATATCAGCTGTACAATTTGTGATAGGTTACTTGGATAATCATCGCCAATATCAAGTCACCGACACCTCTGAAGTCTGGATACAAGGTGAAGCTACCGAAAGGACGACTCTCTCTCTCTCTATATATATTGGCACCGCCTTGTCTCGAGGCTTGGACAGGTGCATGTGATGTTCAATCTTCACACAGAAATGCTTATTATTATTATTTTTTTGCCTTTTTTGTTTCATTTGCATTCACTGATGCAAAATTTACGTCTAAAAATTTAATTTGAAATTTATATCACCTTCCTTCTATCTCAATTATTTCTTATATAAATGGGACTGTATCATCCTGTTTCCTACTTCATTGCAAAACAATTCCTATTTCCATCGTCTTACATACAAGGTGGGATGGGACTACATCATTCTATTTTATATTTTATTTTTCACAAATAAATAAGATCAAATCTAAAGCAAAAGTAAATTAAAATTTATGCTCAATCTATTTATACTTCCATGCATTTACACCAGTGCAAATGATATTTGTATTGCAATTCTATGCGGCCGGTAATCGGTTCAAAACAACCAAAACCAATCCAAATCCAAATAAAATCTAAACATGTAATCGAATTTGAGAGAGAGAGAGATTCAAATTAATTCCCGTTAATAGAGCCACTTTGGCTACATTTATGAGCAAAGACACCCTCAATTAAAGGGTTTAGTAAACAAGACTGATTAATAGAACCGTCCCCCTCATCACTGATCTCCCCTCAAGAAATTTCATTTCTCTAGTCGTTTGCATGGGGAATCAAATAAGTAAAAAATAGCTCCCGTCTTTGACATAAATCCAAGACCCCAACCCATATATGTTTAAGAAAGAATTATGCTAACAAATATATGTAAAAAGAATGATAAATGATTAATTAACAACAATTGAAAATTCAGAATTTTTCACAGCGGCTAGGCAAACCAGTTTCATTATCAACCACCACGATCTCTGTCATATTATTGCAACCAAGCACATCTTGCCCCAGTTTTGCTCCTGCTGCCTTGAGCCCCCTCAGAGACATTGCCTGGTTGAATAGGTTGAGTGCAGGCAACCTCGACGCCGGAGGCAACTTCCCCCCTGGCAGCAACCCCCGGAAGTCTTCCTTCAACAGGGGCACTTCAAAATCTGATTTGTCATGTCTAACCACGTTATCCTTGGCGCTAATGTGAGCCCCAGGCTCCATATGGTTTGTGGAAAAGCTGGTTTGATTGGGGAAGTTCGGATACAGACTCACATAGCCTCTGAGGTACATCATATCGATGAGAAACTTCTTCCATGAAGCTTGCCAACCGTTGGTTCTAGATTTTGGAATTTGAACTGGGTTTTGCTTAGCATCTTCCGTGAACCTCATGTTCATGTAAACATAGAATTCCCTCCAGTGCTTGGGGAAGAAAACAGCACCCCAGCTGCAAGGCAGCTGATGGAGATATGGTGTATTTGGATGAATGTGCTTGAAGAACTCAGTTGCATTCCACTTGGGTCTCTCTTTCACTACTTCAACCAATCTTGGGGTGTAGAGAGAGATGGAGGACAGCTCAGGGAGTGAGACCTGTGGATCGTAGTGGTAGGCCAACAGGGCGTATTTAATCCAGAGATAATAGTATGGAGACACTTCTATGTCATCTTCAAGTAGGAGACCATAATCATCATCAGATGATGGATACCAACTCTCACTGACAGCTCGGATAAGCCCTCCTTGGATGATTCTTCTCCTCAGGGTTTTGGGGCCATGGGGCCACTGGAATGAATTCACCAGCCTCACTGTCTCTTCATCCACTTTGCTGTCAACGTTGAAGCTAATGGGAATCTCATCCCCAAGATAGTGAGCATCACTCAGTGATTTCAGAAGCCTTCCCAGAGAAGAAGCACGGTTTTGGGTAACGATGTTTACTGAGATTCTCATCCGGTTCCAATCTGTATGTAATAATAACAAGAGTTGATTAGATCATTCAACAATGAAGTAACAGAGGATAAATCATACTATTTCTATATATGCCAACTTAACCTGAATTAAGGCATATCCCTTTTAAGGGAACTCAAGAAAACTTATTTACTGGTATTAAACCTGATCATGTTTACCAAATAAAATAAAAAAAAAGGAATTAAACTTGATCAAATCCACCAGTTACAATTCAAAATCAAAACTTTACATACCATATTCAGCCAAGAGGGAATATATGAACATGGAGAAATCAGCCTTATAGTTATAGGAATTAGGAAAGCACTCATCAGTAAGGGAGTAAGGGGTATTCTCCAATGTGAATTGTTTTTTCCTGTTTCAAGTTCCAAAAACAAAAGAAAACCAGCTGGTTTGAAAACAAATTGGTTCTTAAAACAAAAACACAGAAAACATGTTTTTGGTTATGCGTGTGTTTTCAAAACTGAAACCAAAAACATGTTCTTTAATTTCTAGTATAAAGAACATGCTTTCATCTGTTTTTGTTTCAAGAACCATCATTTTGATGGTTTCAAAAACATGTATTGTTTTTTGAAACAAAACCAACTTGTTTTTGCTTTTCAAAACAAAAATGGTTCAAGAACGTATTTTTGTTTTTTTGCTGAAGTGGCAATTTCAGAAACAAATGAAAACAAAAACATTCATGTTGTAGAATGCCTCCTATATCTTGWTTGAGAAATTTGAAAAACCGAGTTGTGAAATCCAGAAACTTGAAGAGCTCATAAACTGAGGAATGAGCCATGTTTCAAGTTGATTGGGACCTGATCCTTTTCTAGTTCACATTGACTTTCGACTTTTAACCCTGGACAATAAACGTATTTCCTCGATTTTCACTTTAATAATTAAGAAACTAAAATATGTCCTTGTATTAGTCTGTAAAACATAAGTTACAGTTCTTACTTGGCAATGCTGTTGAACGTAGGTCAGCCATCCAGAGAACATTGGGCACAGAAGATCTTGGTAGTAGAACCAGGGTTGTACTGTTTGAATTAGTCTCTGATGCCATTTTCAGAGCTTTCTTAACATTCAAATCAACATCAGCCACAGTAATCAGCACACTGGGATTGTGGATTTTAATCAACCCTTTCATGCTTGAGTACACAGCTTGCAAGACAGGCACCTCTGAATCTGAGACACCAGAAAGAGCTCCAATCGCCAAATCAAAAATCTTGAATCTTCTTTCTCTGCAAACTGACTTGGGCCAGTTCAAAGCAGTTGCAGCTTCTTCACAAGGACAGTAACTGCCTCCAGAGACAGCAATATAAGCCTTCTTGCCAACTGTGGACCTGAATTTTTCAAGAAGGGGCGCTAGTGCTTTTACTTCATCAAGAGAATGGGCATAAAAGAGTGCATCTATTTTCTGAGGATGCATTGCAGCCCACTGAGTCACATAACCTGTAGAGAGAGCTCGCCACCATTGATCATCTCGGACTTGAACAATGTCTTTGAAGATTACTGTGGTCTCAGACACATAAGCAAGCCTGTGTTCACTGTCACCCCAAGTTTCCTTGTCATTTTGGTCAACTGGAAGAACAAAAGATCCCGCATTTCTGTACTTTTGAAGTTGATAACTGCATGGTTTTATGGATTGGGGCCATGGACAAATGAAGCAAAGTCAGATAGAAGAGACACACATAGTATACAAGCTACAATAATAAATTATAAAATTGGTCACAAGTAGGGGTGTCAATGGACTGGTTTTGGGTTGGACTTGGTCCAAATCAAAATCAATTTGGGCGTATTGGACGGAGTCAACAGACCAATAAGACATGTTGAATTGGACCGGTCTAGACTTAATGGTCCACAGTATTTATTCGATTGGATTGGACCTGGTCTATCCGTAATGGATTTATATTGGATTGGGTCGAATTGAACCAATATCTGGTCCATTGATAAAAATGTAAGAATGCAGATGTCAAAATGGACCAGGTTTGGGTTCAAACCAATCTAAATTAAAACCAATTCGAACAGATTGGACGCTCCAGACATTGAATTGGACCAATCCAAATTGGTCCAAAGTATTCATTGGATTGGATTGTACCAGGTTCATCTTTAATGAACTCATATTGAACCGGATCGGATTGGACCAAATCCGGTCCAATTGACACCCCTAATCACAAAAGAAAGAAGTAGAAGTACCCATTACTATTGGCTATCTTCTGAATATACTTTATTAAACTCAACAGATGATCAAACTAAATTAACAACTTTCCGGGTGAATCAATATATACAAATGATATGAAATCTATTTTTTTTCTCTATTAGAAATCGGAACTTTGGAAGTAATATATGTTAGTTTCAATAACTTGTTGAAAATTTCTAGTCCAGATTCAGAACTGATCCAAATGAATAAAACGAAGAAGGCACATTAGGAATGGCTAAGAAGTACCTGAGGTGCAGATCTTCTCCAGTCATGAAGGTGAATGGTGTCTCAATAAAAAGTGTTTTAACAAGCTCGGCTGATAAAAACCATGAGCTAGACAGAAAATCCACCTGCACAATTCTGTCAACTGTGATATCATAGGCAGGGTCAGGCAAATAAAGTCCTGCTTCCTTGGAACGAAACTTTCTGTAGCTTGGGAACGTATAGTCCTTCTGTCTGAAAGGCAAGATCCTTCCTATGCTGCCCAGCACCGAGTTCTTGTACTTGTTCGTCCCCGCCACATGGGCCATTATCTGTAACATCTTCCTTCCAGGTATCATGTCGTCGTCTAGGATGTATACCAGATCGGCTTCTGTCTGTAGGGCCATCTGAAACCTTCCATAGTATTTGAAATCGTAGCTAGAACTAATAAAACTGATCCTCGAATCATTGTAGCTGTCCACAATCCTCTTCAATGAGAGCTCATTTGGGCTTCCAAATGAGAGCACCCAGATACTGTGGAAGGGAAGGGTCTGCTGAAGCAGGGAATCAAGCTGGGAGCAAAGCGTTTTCCTCTTGAAATGGTTTAAAATCACAGTGATTTTTGGGATGTTAGGGCCCCGCAAATCCCATTTCGAGCTCATAGCCATCAGCTGGGAGAGAGTCTCTGTCCCAATCGTCTTGCTTTGGAACTCCAAAACCTCATCATAGAGCTCCCTCTTCAACTTGATCATCTGAGCATCATTCGACTTTTTCTGTACGAAATCAATCTTCTCATGTTCACAGACCTCAGAGGGTGTTATAGGGGGGATTTCAGCTCGAAGGAGGGAAGAAGCTTCTTGGTAGTGTCCGAGAACATGAGGTTGGATAATGAACTGCTTCCAGTGCTTGGCAATTCGGCTGGCCCATGCGAAGTCTGGTTTTGTGCGTAAATCTACAGTGGGGCTCATGTAATACAGAAGAAAGGTGGCATAAATTGCAAAGGCGAACTGGAGACAGGTTAGAGCAGTGACAAGGCGAGCAGATGCGCTTCTTTGAGCTTTCATCTTGGCCTTTCCGCCCACATACTCATTGATCATCCCTTCCAAGTATTCCCCACTTCTCATAGTGGGCGCCCGAACTAAACCCATTTCACAAATTTGAGTACGGAGGAAGTTGATCTACAAACAAAAGCAGAGCACACCGTTTTCAGTCAAAATCGTCGGAAACACGGAGCCCAAATTTCAAACTGACAAGCCAAAACTAAACCAAAATTTATGGAATCAATTATCAATGGTTTATGAATTATAAAAACCAAATAAAATCATTCAAGAATGTCTGGGTTCTTTCGATACCCAAACTTCTAAGCAACAAGGAGAACAGCCTCTCCCCCTACTTGAAAAATATAGGTTCGTAGCACACACGAACTTCAACACCAAGAACAGAAGCTGAAATCAGTATTATGTGGTAAAACAGACCAATTACGATTTCCAATGAAACATAATGAGAGATAACAGACTCCGGGAAAGAGGTAAACCAAAAAAAAAAGGAGCCGGAAAGGAGATTCTATACTAGAGAAGAGAAGGAAGAAGAGGTTTCGTTGAATTCTGAAGCGCAACGGATCGTGTGCCAAAGGTTTAAAGTTATAAGGAACTAACCCCATGCAAAATGCATCAAAAGGTCACATGGACGTTAGAAAGTTTAACGCGTTCCCTTCATTACTCATACAATTCCCCTCTGCGACACCAATGAAAAGCCGGTTTTGATGGCGAGAAAGAGGGCAAACCCAGCGTTTTTGGCACTGCTCTCTCTGTACTCTCTTCATTAATTTCTTTTGTACCCTTTCTTTCTTTGCACGAAATGTAAACAAATCTTGAAACTGAAATATATTCATTATTTACAGTTAAAGAGAACCCAAAAACTATATTTCTTCCTTTTTTTTTACTTCTCCAACATAAATTTGCAGAAAATCCGCTGAAGCTTAACCATACCCAATACTCGAAAAAATATTTATAAAGAAAAAAAATCTGTTTTATAACATTTGCTAAATATCTAATCAAACCAAAGAGATTTACTTCCTTTTTCCGGAAAAAAATCACTAGAACTCATTATTCACAACTTTTGCCCATAAATGCAAAAAACAAAATCAGAAGATTCTTTTACTTTCAATTTCGAATAACCTGAGTCCATGATAAGTTGACAACTTAATAACGACACTCATATAAACGAATCAGAAAATTAAAAAAAAGAAAAGAAAAAGAGAATATTCCGAGTCTCTGAGTTGGAATTTTTATCTTCCAAAGAACTCAAAGCCTACTAAAATGCAAATCCCCAAACCCCTAAGCATGTACTAAAAATATAAAAATGGGAAATTTTGTCAAACGCAAATCCCAACGATCAGTAGTTTATGCCCATAGAAGCCCAAAGCGGCAGGCCTAAAGATAGAAGAAAACGAAGACAGCGGAGAGGCAAACACACTCTACCTTGATATAAAGAAGAAGAATAATCCTTGCGACCGCAAGCTAAAACTTCAACAGACCGCCATTAATGCATCTGGAGAGGTCGCGTTAAAAACCAGAGAAGAAAATAATTGAAAAAAGTTGGAGACCTTAAAGAGATTTAAATAGAGAGAAAGAAATCGTAACAGTTGACTTCGTACGTATGTATGCATGTATGAAGATCGCAGCATTCTTTGGTAATGCCTTTTTGCCGAACTTTGGCAAGTTGAACGTAAGAAACCCATACAACAGTATTTGCAATTTGCTTGCAGGAGGGAGAATTCAAATCTGTTTGGTTCGGTTGCTTATTGAAGAAAAAGAACCATAAACACATTTTTTTCTTTAATTTTGTTTCACTTAGTCAAGGCTTTTACAGGGGAGCCTGGGAGGTGAGTCGGCAATGAAGCAGGAGACGTTAGTATCTGGGATTTCATAGTTCTAGACAGTTTACTTTCCACTAAGAACTAAATTGAAGAAATGGTTCTACTGTCGATTTTCAGAGCAAACATAAATAAAGGGAAAATAAAATAAAGAAAGGGCATGACAAAAGTGTAGCCAATTACCAAAATAAACTTTTATTGTGATTGGTCAAACTTCTTCAGGTATAATACCTTTTTATTGGCTGACGGGGCACGTGGGTTCAATCGGGACGGGTTAGGTTGGGTTGAGGTTGAGGTCAACCCTGACCTGTATGAACCCCAACCTTAAATCTAAACCAATTTCATGACGAAAATTATGATGTCAGAAATAGATGATATCGGAAAGGCTTTGATAATCAGAAATAGATGATACCGGTTGATTGATTGTAAGTTTTTTCGGTATTATGTTTTTTTTTGGCATCATAGACAAATCCAATTCCATGTTGAAGGTTCAAAATATCCCAATATATATATTTTTAGGGTTATCATTATATAAATAAGTTAGAAGATTTTAGGGTCATGTTACTGGTCAAAGGAAATTCTAAATTCTTGATTTTGCATATCAAGATGACCGAGAGACTCTGAACCTTAGTTGGGTCAGGATTTTGAGTTGAGTTTGGATTGATCCAATATTCCAATTTCTTCTCTTTTATTAAAATCTTCCTATGTCGTAAATTAACAGCTAAACTTATTAATGGGTTAAGTGTTAACCCAATTTAAATATTGTGTATTATTAATTTTATACAAATACGAAGAAATGCGGTTTGAGTTGGGTCAGGTTGCCTAAGGCCTCAACCCTAACCCATCTTTAACCTGATCTAACCCATCCTTTTCGGGTTGGGTTTAAGGCTTTAAGCTAGCCCAAGTTGCAACCGGGACCTTACGGAACAATAACGCAAAGCTTTGGAGCAAATTTGGAAATCCAATAAAGTAATAACGATGGTTTGGAAAATTGCGCATTTTTTAATTAAGAAATAACAGATAAGACCGGCCAAGTTTATACTGTTGGCTATTGTATCGGCCGATATTTGAGGAGATTGAAAATATAATCTACCTTCTCATTAAGAGTACTGAAAACTCTGAATGCTTTGCTTGAATCTCAAATTATGTAAGAGTTAAGACATTGWCACTATTAATATTTAAACTAATTTCCCGTTGAAGATTCTTGATGGGGATCCAGCTCCCAAAGTGATCACCAAAAAAATTCTTCTGTACGCCATCACGTTAATATACCATTGGGTTGTTCTATGGAATCTCTGATATGGATCCGGTTGGTTGAACCCAGTTATCGGGTGAGGTTATCCAGAATAGGTTGGCGACCCGACATCTCAGACTAAGCTCAAAAAACCTGATCAAGCCGGTTGAGCCAGGGCTTGATTAAGAAAATTAAACCTTGTTTTTAATTAAGCTCTATGCTTCCATTAATTCATCAATTTAACACGGTTTAAGCTGTCGGTCCAAACAAATTGACCCTTTCTGTTCACTTATATATGCTTGCTCTTGCTAATAATCGTTGGACATCATGAACACAAAGTTATATTACTCATCTTAACTTCATACACACATATTTATTGCTCTTGCTATGGAACCTATCCAGTGCTTATTGGAGGAATCTTCCCTCTCACCATGGTCCATACACATATATTATGGACTGCAGGCGGCTTCTTCTCTGTTTTGATTCAATTTTCGTTTATCATGTCAAGAGGAACTTCAAACTTGCTAAAATTGATGTCAATGGTCATTGTTTTGGGGTGGGTGACACTCCCTCTTGTATTTTTCTTCTGCTTAATTCTGATTTGTCTCCCGTTGAGACTACTGGAAACCTATACTTTATAAGTAAATGAAGGTTGGCTTTAGGCCTTTCCAACTCAAAAAAAAAAAAAAAAAACTTCAGCTGAGACCTCTAATTGAATGGTTTTTATACTCTAAAATTATAACAAACTCTACTCTCTCTATTTCTCCACACCAGATGATTCTTAACTTGTTATTTTGAGTCTGATTCTCCAACTTAACGTAACGCTAACTTTGTACTAAGTTGTACACTAACAAATGAAAATTCATTGGATGGCTTTGATTGGTCAAACTCTCAAACTTGAAGAATAAATGAAACATTTAAGAGTCCGTCCAATCAAAATCACTCCTGAAAATTTTGATGAATGTCCATTGGTTTGTATAGTGTACGTAGGCCTTAATATATATATATATATATATATATATTAAATATATGTAAGAGATCCAAACTGTCTAAATATGCGTGATTTGTATAGTAATCATGTATCTGATTACTTACCACACTTGTCAATAGCTTTTGGAATAATTTGGTATACTAATTAAAGTTAATGATATGGAATATTAATTACTCAGACTTAACACATCTCCTTGATGGTGAAATGTGATAATTAGCTAAGTAAGACACTTCTCTTCTAAATCTCGATCGCAACAATTACTCACCCCTTAGCAGTTACCATGTAACTTGCAGTAATACAGGTCACGTGTTAAGAAATATATGCACGTGAGTTGCCTACCACGAAAACGTGGAGGTGTTAAGAATGATTAGAGGAATCATGAGAGCATTGATTAAGAGATAAGTGACTCATCCTAATTCCCAAAGGACCAAGTAAGAAAGTGAGCAGCAGTGGATGGTCAAAATGTCAAATGTCAACTCAAAAGAAAATTCAACTTTCCATGGTTGGTCAGTTTTGTTGGAAAACCCCCAACTCAACTGAGACCTACCTATTCACCCATTCACAGGTGGCAATTTTTTTTTTCTGTTCTGGTGGGCAACTGAGATTTGACTTGGGAAGAAATTAAAACTAGCGATGAGAGATCCATGGATCCATCCATGTAGTAGTGGAAGCCACATAAGCAAGAATATCGCGAATGGCTCGTTCTATATTTTCCCAAATCTCCCACTCTCCTTTTGCTGGAGAAAAGGAAAACAAGACTTAAGTATTAAAATACCTAACAATATAGAAACGTAGGTATTCAGAAGTCTGAGCCTGAGGCTGAGGGACTCCATCATCTCCATGTGCAATTGCCCTTTGCCATACCATAATATATAGTCAATGTAAAGAAACTGGTCTATATTTTGTTTTTCTTTTCTTTTTCAGTTTTGTGGAGTAGTACCTAATACTAATACTAGCTAATGTATATCATTTCACATGGTTTAGACTTTAGAGCCCCTTAATTTGAAGGAGAGATAGTAGGTCGTATCACCTGTCTCTCTATATATGTCAATAAACATGGCTGGCTCTTATCCATATATACAATATTAATTAAAAACAGCGCCAGGCCGGCCCAGACCTCASCTTTATCGCAATGTTGGTCAGGGGTCAAAACCCACGGAAAAGGGAGGACTTAATTAATTTCCTCATTTAGCTGGCTGCTCTATTCCGCCTTGCTTTGGTATTGAGGGAAGAACTATATCTGATGTAACCGTTTTTRGTCACGTACTATTTTTTGTGATGTATAAATTTTTTGGCTAAATATCTCGTTGTTTGACCCGGTGGTGACGTGCCTTGGTGATGAGCTATTTGGTGGCAAACTCCCTGGGGGAGAACTGCTTGGTGACGAACTGCTTGGTGGCGAACTCCCTGGTGGAGAGCTACTTGGTGACGAACTGCCTGGTGGTGCTTCCTAGTGGCGAACTCCCTGGTGGCGAATTGCTTGGGGGCGAACTGCCTGGTGGCGAACTCCTTGGTGGCGAACTGCCTGGGGGTGAACTGCCTGGTGGTGAACTCCCTGGTGGCGAACTCCTTGGTGGCGAACTGCCTGATGGCGAACTGCCTGGTGGCGAGCTGCCTGGTGGCGAACTCCCTGGTGGCGAACTGCTTGATGGCGAACTCCCTGGTGGCGAATTGCCTGGTGGTGCTCCCTGGTGGCGAACTGCCTGGTGGTGCTCCCTGGTGGCGAACTGCCTAGGGGCGAACTACCTGGTGGCGAACTGCC